GGGGGCCCCCCCACCCCCCCCAGCTACTCATACACAAACATGTCTGGCCAGACATGTCTGGTCCTATTTTTCTCTGAAAGAGAATACAAACCAGATAAAAGTAGTATATAACAGGGAGGACTCCCTAACATGTTATTTGCACTCATGGATGATACCACTGACACAGGATGAAATGTTAAATCGCAGGGAGTTATCACTCCACCAGTGTGCATGACACCACAAAAACAGCACATCAGCTTCAAGTCCCATTGACTTCGCTATGGGAATGAACCTTAGGAGTAAACCATAAAGACAATGAGAAAAGAAATCTAGCATATGTTTCTGGAAAACAAATAATCTGCTTTGTAAAATTATCTGCTCTGGATTACGCCATGTCCCTCTTGGAAAAAAAGCTGTGGTATTTCATCTTCCTGTTTTCATGTCACTCCAGCATATACAAACTGTCTTCCACTGGAGTACAGTTAGTGAGTCTGGCTGATACTGATAGACACAGGGGGAATTATAGGAATTTTGCTTTCATGTGGCATTGAAAAAAGAAAAAATGTCAGCATATTTCATTGTTCAAGTCTGATATTATTTAATTGTAACTCAGCAGCATAGATTGTGCTATTAATAAAGTGATTAAACTCTTGATAACTTCACATGATATGCTGTTCACATGACAGACTAAAATACAATTCATGGGCCTGAAAAGGCTGGCGAATAAAGTTCACTAACTTGATCTGAAACACAATGCAAAACATTTAATACAACCATGTAAATTTGCAGCACAGGCAGGCGAGATTTTTGCAGCCTGTGAGTCTGAGTATTTTTTTAGTATTTTTTCAGCTCTCTCTAGAGTTTTTGTAATATCACTGGATGTGATATGTAGTGCCAACTACAGCACATTAAAATAGTGTAAAAAAAATCCTTACTTATAATAATTATTTCAAATTCTTCATTCAACTCTCTTTGGATCATTTTTAATATTTTCTAATGTTGTACATAATACTGTTTTACATTCTACTTGACAATATTCCTTTTAATAAGCGTGGTCATGTTGACTGAAAAAAAAAAACACCAAGACTTAGAAAACTGGAGGCACCTACTGAGGTAGGATTTGGAGTCTCTGGAGTACAACTGCATGGCAACTAATACTAACTCTCCGGATGCTGGTGTTGCCCAGACTACCAGCTTGCTTACAAAGATACATGAAGTCCTCTCAGATATTTTCCAGAAGAATAATGTTCCCAAATCAGATATTAACCTACTGAAAAACATTTAGTAGGAATGCATTGCACTGAGGTATGCCCATTCTTCTGCTGTGGTGGGACACCCTTTGTCCTCTCTTCGATTAGACTGTTAAGAGAGTGTGGTTGTAAATTCCTCCACACAAATGAAACACTGTCATCTGACTGCAGTGTGAGGAAATTTTGGGTGGATTGTGACTCTCCATGATGGACCTTCAGGAATGAAGGCAAGCTGGAGCACTGGCCAGAGGGGTTAAAACCAGCTTCTCCAGTGAGGGATACTCCCCTTACTCACAGCAGGTGTGAAGGCTGCTGCAACCGGCAAAGCCACATAACTGCTGCTATTTTCCTGCTGCAGGAACCTGTAGCAGGGATGACAACACAGAGCAGCCTGTAGCAGTCACTGATAATACAGAGCGGCCTCTCTGCCACGTAGACCTGCACAGGATCCGCTCCACCCTTAGTCAAAAAAAGGGCGCCTGTTTCATTTGGTCAGAAAAAGGGAAACAGGAATTCTCCTGTGACTATGGGCAACCATATTTCTGCTGAACACTGAACCTGTGTTGCTGCAGAATGTGCAGATGGCTAAGCAGTTCAATAACTTAACAGTGTCTCTTACTGGACTATTAGTTCCCTCTTATTTATCTAAATATTCTGCAGAAGAATTTCATGTGTACATATCTTCAAAATATTTACAGTATGCAGATGTACTCTCTATCTAAAAAAGCCAATATAGAAGAATATAGTTGAAGGAAAGAAAAAACTTCCCAATCATGCTTTATCTAGCTATGTTTCTCACTACATTAGCAAGAACTGCCATACAGCACCTACCTACATCAACATACAGAAAAAATACAGAGAGGTATTGTGAAGAATTCCTTCCTTGTTTAGTCCTTAATTCTGTCAAGATAAACTAATTTGCCTCCTTCACAGTTTTTCAACATTCTCAGTCACTCATAAGATTTGTGAAGTTAACTATCCTACTTACAAGTTTAACATAATAAACACCACATTATGAAGATTATGTCATAAATTACATAATTTGGGGAAAACAACAATTCCTTCTCAGCAGCTTTACAACCTACATTTCCTCATTAATGTTGATGTGCCCTGTTGAAAGTACATATTCTGCTGGGGAATACTGTGTGAAATTCATCAAGGCTTCAGGAAAAGTGAACTCAAACTGCAATACACACAAAAAAGAACTGCAGAATGATGAAAAGAATGAGAAGTCTACCTTCTGAAAGGAGATTAAAGAGCTTGATTTGTCTAACAAGGAGGAGAGGGAAGTACAGAAAACAGCTGGATAGCAGAGAAAGAGCAATGTTTTAACAAATGAATACATATTAAACCTAAAGATATTTAGACTGGAAATTGTCAGGTTTTCAACCATCAGTCTCATGACTATGGCTTCCTAGGAGAACATGGAGCTCCAAGAAGTCTATCCAGCTTGAAGCTGGAGCATGGTATGTTACAAAAGCTTATATAAAATGATGTAACCTGAAGCACTACGTGTGATACCCAGTAAGTATCTTTCTATCTTATATTCCTCTGTTTTACAGTCAAATTGAAATGTAACATGACAACAGTAAATTGCCTTCTTCCTCTGCAGATCTTCCCCATGACCTCTTTCAGCTGTCTCTTCTAAAGCCTCTATCACCCTCCTTCACTCCATTCATCTGTAGCTTGGGTGCCTTCGTTAACTATGACTTCTCTCCTCTGTAGTTATCCAGACCTGTACAGCTCTTGTTGCTTCCTTCAAATCCACTCAACTTTAATTCGGAATTTTTTTCCACTCATTTCAGATTACTGTCATGTCCCCAGTTTTGGTGTTCCTAGTGTCTACCACTTTGCTTACATGGCCTAAGATATTACAACACTGATGGCATCATTCCAATGCCATCCAAAAATGTAGAGCTTCTCACCCAGTCTTGTTAAAGCTCACTGATCGGCTGTTGTCTTTCCACAACATTTGCTATACAGCACCTTTTTACATCCTGTACAGCCCAAGAGATCCTAGCTCAATAGAACACATCAGGAAAATTACATGTTCATTTAAGACCCCTGAAACACACAAGAAACTAAATGGTTGACAATGATATAAGAAAGGTGCCAGATTCTGACCCTTGTTACAGCTTCTGTTTTAAAGTCTAATTAGAGGAAAGGACAGTCAACAGGACATACTGCTCTAGCTATCCCCTTGCTGGAAGGGTAAGTGGAATGATTCTGATTGTAATAAATTGTGATAAGCAGCTGGAAAGGCAATTTAGCGGAAACTAAAGAGAGACAAAGGGCGACACACAGAAATATCATTGTTCTGAAACTAATGAAGACATCAAAGTTGAAAAATGACATACAGGACCTAGAAAATTGGTTCAGATTAAGCTAGCTCAGGTTGTTTGTGCTTTCTAAAGCATGAAAGGACCAAGAAATGGCTATTTTGCAATATATTATGAAAATACTTAGAATATCCACATTATTGTTAATACACATAAATTGTTAACCCATGTCACGTTTAATCTCCTCGTTATTAGGTCCTCATGGAACATGCAATACATGGAACAATGGTAGGCAGAAAAATGCATCTGGAAAATTCAGTCCACTATAGCCCCAATCTTCAGCATAATAAATGATGTAGCTGTGATCTCACACTGTGAGATATTGTTGTGGGGCCGTAGTTAAGAATGTCTTCCACAAATCCTATGAGGCTCTTGTAAAAAAAGAGAACAAATAAAAATTGGGTTTTCTTTGCATTAAAATAGTTCAAAAGCAAAAGAGGAATCATGCTTGCCTTTGGCTTCTTTTGTTGACTGAGTTTTTGGCTCAGAGTATTTTTTACCTCAGTAGTATGTGGAACTCTCAGATGTAACTGTTGGCCACTCACCATTTTACATTTTGTTTTTAACATTAAATTCAGACATTCTTTCAGAATTGCTGAGTTTTACACATTTCTGAACACATCCCACCCTGTATCAGGTTGTATGCAGTGTGGCACAGAAGAACAGGCAGATGAGCATCACAACTACCTAGAGGCATAAGAAGTCATTAGTATCCCCTGTGCTGCTCTAAATCACAACAGAAAGAAACCAGAGTCTTCTGTTAAATTTCTATGTTATCACAGTTGATTCAGGATGTACAGTCTTCACTTGTTATGAATTCCAAATTAAAAAGAAATTACACTTCAGAATTAATGAAATTAATCAGATGTTTGCTTTACAACTATACTTGTAACAACCTTACAGAGTCATAATTTACTTTCTTTGGTATATTTCCTTTATTTTTTTGTCCTGCTGTGAAGACAAGAGCTCTAGAGCTCTGTTTTGCTAGTGTACTTTAAGAGGTAATTAATCTACCTCATTGTTTGTAACCTTCACACTGTATTGCACAGGCAAAGAGAAACGGTACAGAAGACAACCTAAACTGAGTTAATGGACTATTTTTTTGTACAGGTACCAAGAGGTGGAAATTAGA